CCCGAGCCTACAAAGCTCCTTGCATTGTTCAGGGTCCTTCTGACGTGCCGTATTGTGCATTTGTCAGCGTTCCATTCACTGTGCCGCTGTGCCACCCGTTGGCTTTGTCAGATGAGCTGTTTGGGAGATGGAGAGCAGTTTCCCAAATGGTAATTTCAGCTTTTCATTAGCTCTTTGGCCGATGCTATTTGTGGACTTTCTCGAAAACATCTTGTACTGCTGACTAATATTGATTAGCTTAAAAAATGAACCTGCAAGCTTGTGCTGCTTTGTTGTTTGTGGGTTTCAATTCACTGATGGAAGCAACGTGCCTATATAAGAGGTGCAGATACTTTGAGTGTTTCATTACATTCCTTGGAACTAAGAAGGTGATTTCAGTCAGTTTATGGTCACACCAGGTCAAATGTCCACAAAGCCATCCAAATCTCCATAGCCTCTGTTACACAGCCTGGCGTGCTTGTCCCAGCTTGCCAAAAATCCCAATGTAATGTATGTTCTCATATTGTCTGTCTCTGTGTGCGCTGCCTTGGATCACAGCTCGGCAGCCTGCCATACAGGGCATCTCTGTATGCAGCATACAGTACAGATCTTTTGCCTCTGCTGTGCTCAAGTACCACATTGGCTTAGAAACCCCACTTGGTCTGGCCCTGCATAGAACAAACACATTTACTAGCTACACTCACCATCCTTTCAGAGTTAAATGTCTGTTTTGGCAAATAAGTTGTTGTGGGTAACAAGTGCTCCATGTGAATACTGTCAGCAGGGTGTCCTCACCTGCAGATACCAGAATGTGACCACAGTGTCACAGAATCCCAGACTGGTTTGGGTGAGAAGGGACATTAAAGCTATTCCAGTTCCAACCCCCTGCCACGGGCAGGGACACATTCCACTAGAGCAGGATGCTCCCAGCCCCTGTGTCCAACCTGGCCTTGAACACTGCCAGGGATGGGGCAGCCACAGCTTCTCTGGGCACCCTGTGCCAGCGCCTCAGCACCCTCACAGGGAAGAGCTTCTGCCCAAGAGCTCATCTCAATCTCCCCTGTGGCAGGTTCAAGCCATTCCCCTTGTCCTGTCCCTACAGGCCCTTGTCCAGAGCCCCTCTCCAGGTTTTCGGTAGCCCCTTTAGGTACTGGGAGCTGCTCTAAGGTCTCCCTGGATCTCCCGCATCTCTACTGCAATAGCTTCTGTCATCACAGATATATCCAGTGTGGTTTAAACATCTGTCCTCCTGGGCACTGCCTGCAGCACCACCACCAGTGTCTGGAGCTGGAGCCTGCCTGAGGATTTACCAAGTCATGAGATGTTCAGTGCCCTGTACTGGGGCACAGGCGGCTGTAGGTGCCCTGCTCGTGCTGCGTGCCCAGGGCAGGACCATGGCATGTGTGCCCTTGGGTTTATTCATCATCAGCACCAAAGTCTGGTGAGCAACGGGTTTGTGGAGTCCGGGGCATGCCAGCAGCTTTATGCACTCATCTTTATACAGCCAGAGTGTGCCAGTAGGTCTGAGACAGCCCGTTACTCCTTGGAGGAGTGATTCTGGCCACCGTGCTTACTACCTTTTTAATGATGCCACAGGACTGGCATGGGTAGTAAAAGGCTTCCCATGGCCTTTCTGTCTTACGCTTGCAGATCCTGGTTTGGACTGTTTGTGCCCCTCAGCAGGGCTCCTCTTGTTTTGAAATCCACTTTGAGCCTGGCTCATTAATCACCTCGTGCTCGGCTCTGCAAGCAAGAGATGGCCCTTCCCTTCTGCCTGAGAAGCAGCTCTCTGAACGGCATTTCAATTGCAGAGCTGAAACAGTTGCTTTTATCTTGCAGATGAGTGCCTCAGCAAGCACCTTAAAAATTTTATTTCATGCCTGGTGAGGAATCTCATTTCCACACTGCTGAGAAATTGGGAACAGAAACGAGGAGAATACCTCCTCTGCCAATATAATTGAGTAACTGTCGAGTTCATAATTTCCTAGCTTAAAACACTGAAGATGGAGAATTGAGGCTGGGTTTGGTAATATCTGCTGGTTGCAACTTGAGATGTTGATGTCAAATCACTGCTGCTGTGTCCTGGGACCTTTCATAGTGAACAAACCTGCTCTGGAAAGCTTACCTAGCCCTCTTCCTCCTCCTCTTTTTCCTCTTCCTGCTCACAGGATGCTCAAGGGCAGCCGTGCAGCTGAAAGGAGCCCCAGAGATTTTGTGTTCTGATCGCCTGTGTTTATTGCTCCTGGCTTTTTATATGCATTTAGTGATGCCCATCTATTGCTGTTGTCTGTTGAAAAACAAGCAGAAAGGGGAATGATCTCTGGAGCACACTGACTATTACAGAACGGAGTTGACTGGCTTCTCCCTAAATGATTTCTGTTCCAGTTTTTGTGATTATAAAGTAAAACTTCACCTTGTTTTCTCCCCCAGTGCCCTGATTCTGCGTGCAAGCAGGACCTCCTGGCCTACCTGCAGCGCATCGCACTGTACTGCCACCAGCTGAACATCTGCAGCAAAGTGAAGGCTGAAGTTCAGAACCTGGGAGGGGAGCTGGTTGTGTCTGGGGTATGTATGAACTATGACACAGCTTCACAGCATCGTTTAGGTTGGAAAAGACCTTTAAGAGCATTGAATCCAACTGTTAACTTTTATGCTAAACATTACAGAATATAGACAAGAGATTCTGGAGCATTCAGTCAAAGTTTTAATGTATGCAGCAGTATTTGCCTGTGCTGCCTCACTGTTCCTGGAGGAAACACTGTTTGAAAGGAGGGAAAATACAGACTTCATTTCTCATTACTCAACAGCATTTGTAGACAGATTCACTTGACCTTTGTGTAATCTACTGTTTTTCCAGCCTGTTTTTCACTCTTAGTGAGGTTAAATCAGCACAGCTAAACCTACCTCACATCTCTGGACAGTCTTGGAATGTGCTGGGGTCCTGCAATGCTCCAGAGATGTTAATATTTCAAAATAGCTGTGCCATGAGGAGTGCAGGGATTTGTAGTGGCTGCTCTGGTTGATGACAGCGAAAGCTGCCCCAGGCCAGCCTGCTTCCTCATTCTAGCCATTACTTAGCAAAGAATTTTTTCACTGTAGTTCATGAAATGCTTCCTCCTAAGAGGAATCTGTATGATGGATATTTGGGGGGAGGGAGGTGGAGCCTAATTCTTCACTTCTGGCATATTCTTCCTTGCCCTGGATGGGTGTGTTTTGTGTTTGATCACTGGTGCTTTTGCCCATCCATGTCACAGTGGAGGTAGGAGGTTTGAAGAAGGGACAGAAATGGATGATAGTCCAGTACTGCTATCCTAATCCTGAAAAACAAATGGAAGAAACCTTACAGCTTCTGCCATTTAGGTATTTCAAGTGCTTAAGCTTACAAGCACATCTTTTTCCCTGCCAACAAGCTAGAGCTGCAGACTGTGTTGCTGTGTGTCTCTGGTGCGTGCTGATGTCCTGTTCGCTGGAAGGCTGAAGGCATCAGGCTGTCAAAGAAGTAGATGTGTCATTATGCAGTAATATGTACTCCAGGGTTTTACTGCAGTTACTCAGTGTCTTCAGAATTTGCATACCCTTCTGCCATGAATTAGTTGTATGAACAGGCTGGCATCTGTAGTGTCATCTCCTGGTTCTGTCTGTTCCCTGTGAGCCGGTCCACTGGGGCTAAATATTGCCAGCAGTAGTGTTCAGCTTCTGTCAGATGATCAGATGAAGACCTCTGGCAGCCCAGGGACTTCACCTGCCTAAAAGAGAATTTCTTCTCACTGTTAACATCCTGCCCCAACCAGCTACCACAAAAACATTGTGAAAGCAGAGCTTTACAAGGCAGCGAGAGCTTGCCCCCTAAGCAATCTTGACAAGTCGTTTAGGGAAGTAGCTCCTTGCTTTCATTGCATTTAATATGATCCTTCCTGCTGTGAAGATTCGTGGAAATAAGTCAAATGCAATGCAAGTGTTTTGAGCGTGTTGACTGGGGAGAGGAAAGCAGATGACACCCGTGTGCTGGAGGGCACAGATCCGATCTGCCACTGTGGTACTCAAACCACAGCGTGATGGAAAGGAAGGTCCCAGCACCGGAAGAAAAGCAGCCACCCCCTTGCTCAGCTTGGTTCACTGCTCCACAACCCCCCCCCCAACACCTTCCACAGCACAGGAACTGCAGCATGTGGAGGCAGCTGAGCAGAGGTGCTGAACCCAAGGTCGCAAATGTGCCCTAGGCCACTGGGCATTCACGTGTCAGAGGTCCCACCTGGAGAAGGGCACTCCAGGGGAGTGGGTCACCCCAGCGGGCCTCCCCTTTTTCTTTCACCCTGCCCTAGTGTTGGCTCTTCAGCTCTACCATGTGCTAAAGCTTTGGCAAATGTGGGGGGTTTCTCATTTTAATGCTCTTTGTAAATCAGGAACCAGCTGGGAAAGGGCTCCAGGCCCTGTAGATGCAGTTTTGTTCCCTCCTTTTCAATGCAACTGAGTATTTAGGGTGATTTAAGTATTTATTATCACTGATTAAGGTATTACTGCAGTTTAATTAATTTCATTAGAGAATAAGCTACTGTTAAAGCTTAGTCACAAAAGCAAACAGGAGGATCCAAACCTTGTTGGTGTTAATATGGAAAAGGCACAGACCATGGGGAAACACTGCTCTTTCATTTTTGGTGGCACAAGTCAGGGTTTCACCACTTAGTGCCTAAAGAAAATAATTTCCTTAAATTTGGAGCCTCAGATTTCAAAAGAAAACCCAGAAAAATCAGGGTTTGCATGCTTTTACCCCTCAGGACTGTGGTGTTTCCTGGAATGCTGTATTCCTGTGGTTTGTATGTCATGTAACACGTGTGTGTCACCGTTTGGCAGGTGGACAGTGCCATGTCCCTTATCCAAGCAGCCAAGAACCTGATGAATGCGGTGGTGCAAACCGTGAAGGCTTCCTACGTGGCATCCACCAAGTACCAGAAGTCCCAGGGAATGGCTTCACTCAACCTTCCCGCCGTCTCCTGGAAGATGAAGGCTCCGGAGAAGAAACCTCTGGTCAAGAGGGAGAAACAGGACGAAACCCAAACTAAAATCAAGAGAGCATCGCAGAAGAAACACGTGAACCCGGTGCAGGCCCTCAGTGAATTCAAGGCGATGGAGAGTATTTAAAGAGAGGTCTTTGTGTCTCGGTTCTTTCTTTCTCTAGCCCACTACTGCTCCTTCCAGAACTCTACTTCTAATATTCTAAGGATTTTTCAGAAGTTTACCCTTCCTCAAATTGTATTTACTTAATATAATTTTGATAACTTTGTTTAGATTCCGTGGGGGAACAACTTGGATTTCTAAGTCCTATCGATCAGTGTAGCTTCAGCCTGTGGGAGTGTGTTCCTTTAGATGGCTTTTAGATTTCAGGGGTGTATTTCTAGCTGAAAATCGTTTTGTATAATCTTGCTTTAAATAAAACATTCTATAACCAAAGAGGGTTTTACAGTAACACTAACGGTTAACACTAACAGTTGACTCATGCTACTCAGAGGCTTGTGATCAAGTGAGGGGAATTAGATCTTTTCATGCAAAGAGACATTAATGAACGTACTGTGTGTATT